TGGCGAGTGAGGGGTGTGAGGGTATAGGGTATGGAAGTGTAAGGTGTGTGTGTATGGGGGGAGAGCCAGAAACCCCAGGATGGCAATATGCAGCCGTGACATCAATACTATCAATTTGCTGGGCCCTAGGATCACCTAAGACAGCACTGCAGGTATGTCTGTGAGGGAGCTTTGACACTGGGGTGGGAAGACCTACTATAAGCATGAGGTGGCAACATGGCATGGGTTCAGGCCCTGCACTGAATGAAAAGAGGAAGGGGGCTGAGCCTCTTTGCATGGTAGATAGAGACCATGGACTTCCTGGAGGCTGCCCCCAGGAGACAGGCATAGCTGGCTGGACCCAGCTATATCATCCTCCTTGTTAGCAGGGAGAAAACTAAGGACTAGAGAGAGGAGAGGGCCTACAGATGTGGAACCCTGCTCAAGGCTCTTCATTGACACCCCTCATTTGGGAGATAGGAACCAGGCCTACTTGGCCACTGAGAAAGTGGGGCTGGTGAAGTGCCAAGATTCGCCAGGACTTTTGGTATTGGATTCGAACTCAGAACCCCGGACTGCTTCTATCTTGGCCCGATGCACCCTGACCAGTTCTCAGGGTCAGTGAGTCCCACGAGTGGCATCAGATGGGGATATTGATAACTTTCAACTGGAGCTCAGGGGGACCACTAGGACTGAGATTGAGATAATGCATTTCACCTCTCCAGACCACTGAGAGGCCAGGAGAGGGCAAAGAGTAAGGAATTAAAAAGAGCACCCACTCCAGCTCAACCGGGCAATGGCTTTGGGCCTCTGTGTAACTCCAGCTTCCTGTGGGCACCCTCAGTGCACACGGATGCAAGGGGTAGGGTGAGTCCTCAGGGCTCTCAGAGCACCCAGAGAGGACTATCCCCTTTGGAAGATCAAGGCAGGAAGTGACTCCCTCACTCCATGAAGACCACTGCTGGGAAGGACCCTGGTGGCATGGCATTCCACCTACATTCCTACCTGTGATTGCCCCACAGATGGAGGTCCTGGCTTATCATGCCATCCTGGTGTCCAGAGGCCAGTTATGCTGGGGAAAAAAGAGCTTCAAATCCTCCTGTTCTTCACAGGAGAATTTGACTAGGGGACCCAGATGCACTCTATGAGGCCAGGAGCCAGCAGGACAAACCCTGGGATTCAAAGGGGAAGCCATTTTGAGAAGAACATTGTCATCTTAGAAAATGATGTAAATGTTCTTTGAAGAGATTCCCAAAGTCATAAGTGAATTCATGGCTACCAGAGATCAACTACATATAGTTACAATGCAATTAGGGATTGGATTGGGTCTTCCTTAACATCTGTCGGTGTCCTTATCCTTGGAATCTATGGATGAGGCCTCATTTGGAAAGATGGTCCTAACAGAGTTAGTGGAGTTAAAATGAGGCCATAAGGTGGCCGTGACCTGATGTGACTTAGCATTCTCAGATGGGATCTTTGGACACAGAGACAGGTGCACAGATGGAAGAGAGGTGATGGCAGGGGGTGAGAAACACATGCCCAAGGAAGGCCAGCGGCAGCTAGAGGGATCTGGGGAGGAGGCTCAGAATGAAGGGGCGCCATGGCCATTGGAGAAAGGGAGGCATGGATGCCTTTTCTCATGCTTCTGATCTCCTCAAAGTGGAGCAATGGATTTGGGTGACTTTATGCCACTCAGTTTGTTGTTCTGTGTCACAGAAATCCTAGAAATCTTATCATAGACAAAACAGCATGGGCAAGAGACAGACATGGCCCCATAGGGAAGGGTCTTGCTAACTCAAGTCCACTAGAAAACCAGAGCTACCAAGCAGGTGCCAAGCTGGGGATCTCATACTTTTTCTCCTGTTTACTCCCTAGCATCCTCAGACCATAGGCTTTTTACTCCCATTCTCAAGAAAATGCAGCCAAGGCAGAGGAGAGGCAATAACTTGTCCTTGGCAGTTCAGGCAGGACCTATACTTGGATGGCAGGGAGGTATGTGTTGGTGGCACAGAGACATCTCAACAAGCTATCATGGCCATGGCTCTTGGCTTCCACACATTGATCCCAGACTCGGGGCGGGGGTATGTGTTGGTACAACCTTTGAGCTCTGTCTGTCCCCTGCGATTTATTTGGACATTTAGGCTGTGTAGCCACGGAGAGGCTCCGGAGGAAACCCGGGCTGTGGGAGATACTCAAGCTGCCTCTGCAGACACACTGTTAGAATCTTTCTGGCATGTTCTCAGGCAAGCCTACTCTGCTTGCAAAGCTCCTTACAGGCCACGGCTCAGCACCAGATTCACCTGGCACGATAGCCAGTGCCCACCCCTGAGGATTCAACGCCCACAGAATTAACCAAGGCTTGAAAGCATTATATTGTTTTATAAGATGGTCATGGTGCTGCATGCCTTTAATTCCAGCACTCAGGAGGAAGAGGTAGGTAGACTTCTATGAGTTCGAGGCAACCCCGGTCTACATGGTTTCAGGTGAGTTAGGGCTACATACTGAGATCCTGTCTTAAAAATTCAATCAATAAGTAATGTATTTATTTATTATTACCATCATTCTTATTACGGTGTATGTGCTCACAAATGTGCCCTAGCCTGAGTGTGTGGAAGTCAGAGGACAACTCTGTAGAGTCAGTTCTTTCTACCACATGGATTCTGGGGATTGAACTAAGGCCATCAGGATTGCATTGCAAGCATTTTACCTGCTGAGTCATCTCGATGGCCCCAGCATTTTTTTTTTTAATTGCACCTCTGCTGTACAGGTACAGGGTTTCCCCTTGTTATTCCTTGAACTACACAAGGTCTATCACATGGTGTCAATGCTGCATTAGGCTTTGAAAGTCAGAGGGAAATGACTTCAGTGTGTGGGAAGATGCAGTCGGGCTACGAGCCAATGCCGCATCATGTTATATTAGGGACTGGAGCATCCGCTGGTCCCTCGTGGATACTGAGGGACAATGTACTGTTGATATTTTAAGGAGAACTGAGTTGTTTCTGTTTTATTTTCAACATAAGCCCAGGCGGGCCTCCTGAATATCAGGGTTAGAGCTGTCGGCCTCCACAGCTGGCTAATATATGCTCGAATCTGGCTTGGACTCCTCATGGTTATCGTGTTATTTTTGAGTTATCACATGCAACCTTGGTTTCTGCCCCTACTTTTCTGCTAATTTTGGGTGTATTGCATTTTAAGAGTAATTCCATTTGATCAGTTTAATATGCTGTTTGGCTGTGAAATTACCTGTCAATTAACTGTTTTATGTGGAAGGAGACTCCTGTGACCTGTAGGGGTTCAGATGATGTTCCTACACAGGCATGGATGGGTCAGCTCTGTCTCTGTCTCTCTCTCTCTTTCTCTTGGCAGGGGTGGAGATTGCGGCTCCCTTATGGGAGGAGGGGACATTGCTTTCCTCAGGTGGCTCTAATCCAGGACTGATGGAGGGCCTGCCTTTGGGAGGACCCTCTGTTCAGGTCCTGAGCAGTGAGGAGGCTCATGGGAGGATGGATCAGCCCTTCTCTGTTCCCCAGCTCCCAGAGATCCTGAGGTCGGGAGCTCTGGAGCCTCCTGGAACACAATTCTGCGGGTTCCAGCCATGCCTGGCCCAGGGCACTGTAAGAACCCTGGCTAGGCTGGCGATGGTTTTGACCCGGACTTAGATGGTGCTAGGCAGACTGCTAGTTCCCAACTCCACTCCAAACCTAGACTCCCTCCGACGGCCAGGGTTTGAATCTGACCTAGGGTATGTGATTTAACACTGTGTTTCAACTTTGTCTTTTGTAAAATGAGGGTCACAGTCCCACCTACCTCACAGGATCACTGTAAATACTGAATGGTCAACCATTTGCAAACGCGGACCATGCCTGGTTGATACTATCCACAGTGAGTTGGGTTCTCCCACAGCAATAATCAAGAAGATGTACCACAGGCTAGCCATGGGCCAATCTAGTGTGGGCATCTTGTTAGTTAAAGTTCCCTCTTCCAAAACAGCTCTAGCCTGGGTCAAGCTGACATAATGGTGGGTAGCCATGTTTAGTGATAGCAAGGTGCTTTTAGTGGCATTGATGTGATCATGATTCCTCCTGCCTATCCGACCCAGCTTGCCACAGTGGCCGGAAAAAAAATTAAGGTCATATAGAATGGTCCCTAAGGTGTGGGATCACCTTGGCTCAGTGTATTTCTGAGGCTGGAAGGCTATGAAAGGGCCCCCTAGCCCCTTCCATGCCCTCCTGGATTCATGACTAGCCCTGGGATTCTGGATCTAGAGCTGACATGGTTTCTTCCAGGCATCCCCTGCTCCTCATGTCCTAGCTACCATTGATGGTCCTCAGCTACCACCAGGTCCCAGACCTCACAGCTCCACTCACTCCACCTAGCCCTTTACAGGAACACCTTTGCCTCACTGTCACAAGATGCCTCCATTGTCCCCACATTACAAACGGAGGAACCAAGACTGGGAGAAGCAGCCTCAGTTGCTGAACCAATGCTGCAAGCCCAGACCTCAGTCCAGGCTCCATATATGCCATAGCCACCTGGCTGGATGGCACTGTCCCCTCTCAACTCTCAGCCCATGTCACAGCAAGCCAGCCTGAGCCCCACCTCTGAGGCTCCATGTCAGTCTGAATGGTAGAAAAGGAGTCAGGGGCAGCTGCCTGTCCTCCCAAGGTGGAGGTGGTGTTGGATCTGCATGGACCACCAACATCAGAAAGGGCAAGAGCAGACCCAGGATTGAGACCAAGTCAGCCAGGTGATGGACACAAAGCTGATCTGTGCTCTCTACCACACCCTGATTTAACGCCAAAGGGATTCTGGGAATTTCCCAAACCTGCCAAGTGCTAAATAACTGACACGTGTCCCCGGCAGGGCGGCAGAGGAAGGCGATTGCTTTCAAACACATTTCATCCCTGTTTACCGGACCCTCCACCAGCACCCTCTACGTACTCAGGTCCACACACGCAACATCTTTCTTCCCACACTTCATTCCCCCTCTCCCCCCCGAAAAGACCCGGCCTTCAACTCACCCCTCCACATCTGGTCACATCAGAGGGATCAGGAGTGGTACAGTAGGACCCATGTCTTGCTGGCTCTGGACAGGGGGAGAAATAGTCATGGTTACAACTGAGTGACCAGTGTTGAGTGGGGATGGAGGTGAATTCTTGAGAAGCAGGTTGCTCCTCCCCCAGTTGACTGGCCCAGGGACACAGGACTCAGGCCATCCACTCCTAAGGCTGCCTTGTGGGCTTTCCCCCTCCCAGGTTCCAAGCTCATCTCAGGGAAGCAAGTGCAGAGTTGGCAGGGATTAAGGGGTGTCTCCCATCTTTGGCTGGCATAGGCTGTGAGGGGGATGTGGTGGAATGGTCACAGTGTATGCTCTGGAGAGAGAGGGGAGAGAGAGAGGGGAGCAAGAGAGAGAGATTTTCCCTGCACAAGGAGCCCAACCTTTTTACTAGTTCCTGTTTCTCCACCCACCCACCCACTCATCCACCTACACAACCATCATCCATCTCTCCATCTATTTGCCAGCTTTTATTCTGAGGTAGTCATCACTTCAGAGTAGGTTGCAAAGAAACACAGAGAGGCCTTGTGCCCCTTCCCCTAGCCACGCGGGAGGTTCACATTTTGTGTAACCACAGCTTATCATCAAAACCAGGCAAGTGAACTTAGACACTCCCTAAACCCATTCTTTCAGCAGCAATGGTGCGTGTGTGCATGCTCTTGTGAGTGAATCCATCTCCTCACCACAGTCAAGACACAAACTGTCCCATACCACAAGGCCTCCTTCAGCTCTGCCTTTATAGTCATCCCATTCCATCCCCCACCTCATCCTGATCTCTGGCTGTAGAATACTGTTCATCAGAGACATGAGAGACATAAAACCAGGTGCCAGGTGAACTTTCTCAAGCTGGCTTTTTTGTTTTCCTTGAGATAATTTTCTGGAGACTGGTCTAGACTTTATTTTATTTGTGACTGTGTGTGTTGTATATGTGTGTGTTGTGTGTCTACAGAGGTCAGAAGAGGATGTCAATCTCTATCATTTCCGTCTTATTTTCTTGAGACAGAGTTTCTCACTGAACCAGAGCTATGCTGGCAGGTCAGCATTCATCCAGTCCCAGGGCTGAGGCTACAGGTGTGCATATGACCATGCTCGTTTTTTAAAATACAGGTACTGGGGATTTGAACGTAAGTACTAGTGCTTGTGCAATAAACACTGAGTCAGCACTCTGCGCTTGCCCTAAGGTCTAGGCTTTACATGGTTCCATGATCAACTATGAACGCAACCATTTACTGATTAAGATTGTCTGTGTTGATCCACATTGGAGAAGTCATTTTGGGTAACACAGCGCTGTGATCACTTGTGAAGGTGTTGTTTTTTGGGGTTGAGCACCAGTTTCCGCTTATTTGTGATGAATGCCCCAAAGTATGGTAGAGCAGATGGTAGAGGCACAGTTTTGAATGCAATCCCTACACCATCCTACAGAGTGGCTGTCCTGTGCTATGTTCTGAGTGGACATCCGAGTGACCTGGTCTTTTGGCATTCTCAACAGGGCCTGCTGGTGTCATCATTTTCCACATCAGCTGTTCTGATGGAGTTTGCTGCCACTAGCTGTGATTTTCATCTGCTGGGCACCTTCTCAGGTGCGCCTTGCTGACTGTATGTCATCTGCAGAGAAGTGTCTCCATGCCTTTTGCTCAGTATCTAATCGGCTTGATCTATTTAAAAAATATTGCATTTATTTTGCATACTGAGTTCCACATGGAGGTCATAGGACAACTTGAAAGAGGCAATTGAATCCTAGAGACCAAAGTCAGGTTCCTCAGGCTTGGCACCTTTCCCTGCTGAGACATCTCATTGACCCTGATTTTTTTTTTTAACTAAGGTATTTTTAAATACCTATCATTTAATATGATAGGTATTAATACTTCATCTTCCTTTTAGTGGATACCATTTCTCTCCCACTTCTTCCAATGTTTTCTAAATTTCATTTTCAGTTTTCAGTAGTTTATTTTCTGCTTAGAGTGCTTAGGGTTCATATTACTCAGGAATTGTTGAGTATCTTGGCTTTTCAGAGGTTTCTGTGTGTGTATGTATGTGTGTGTGTGTGTGTGTGTGTGTGTTTCTCTGTGTGTGTACCAATTTGGGCCCATTTTCAACTATTATTTATTCAAACATAATACTTTTCAGCCCCCTTCTCTTTGTCTTCCTCCAGGAGTCTAGTGACAAGAGCCTTGTTTAAAGTCCCCATCCTAAGGCTCTATTGACATATTTTTCCCCTGCCATTTTCTCTTTGTTATTTAGATCAAGGTAATTTCCATCATCATATGTTCCAGTTTAGTGATTCTTTCTTCAACCCTCTCTCTTCTGCTATCAAGCACATCCACTGAGGGTACGTCTTTTTTTTAATTTTCAGTTCTAAAATTTTCATTTGATTTCTATTCTTTCCTGATTTTTTTTTCAAAGTCTGATTCCAGCTTGATCAGAGCAGTTCTCTGAAGTATGTTTACACTGGTTACTGTGAAATCCGTGTTAGCTGGTTCTGTATCTCTGCCATCTGGGTTGGCATTTATCAATGGCCCTTTTCCACTGAGCCAGACTTCTTCCTGGTGCTTCTGATATGAGCGAATTTTCCTGGAAACCTATCACATCACGAGACTCATTCATACCTTCCATTTCCTCTCCCCTCCTCCAGCAGGTGCAGGAGCATGCCTGCTTGCTAATTTTCTACAGGGACCCACGTTCACCTTTTCAGGTCAGCCTCCACTGGTGGGGTGCTCATTGCTATTGCTGAGGGGAGTAGGGATCCCTCTAGTCCTAGGGTCTGAAGAACTTACAGCCTCCCATGAGCTTTCTTCAGGTGCCATGGGAATGGAAGATGGATCTTGTGTCTTCCCCCTCCCTCACACACCCCATGAAGCTCAAAGTCCTCATCCCTGCCTTATCTGATACCACTCTAAATGTGTGTGTATGTGTGTGTGTGTGTGTGTGTGTGTGTGTGTTGTGTTTCCCTGTAGCCTGGGATGGCCTAAAAAACTATGTAGCAGACGCTAGCCTTGAACTCATGGCAGTCCATCTGCCTCAGCCTCCCCAGTGCTGAGATTACAGGCATGTGCCATCGTATGTCAGCTCATCTTAACACTATTATTAACCAAATCTTGCTTTCAGAAATGTCTACTACCTTCAAGAGCTCTTAGCTTTTCACCTGGCTCAGGAGAGACCTTCCTTTCAGTCAGGAGATAAGGGAAACTGGGAGGCTCTGAGGCATTTTCATTCACAACTGTTGACATGATGCCTGGTGGCTTGGAGAAAACCCACAAAACTGCAGGCTTGGTGATTATTAGAAACCCAGACTGGAATTGTGTTCAGGGTGTCAAGGCGCAGCCCTGCTAGGTCTCTGTAGGGAACATGGGGGTCTGGGCAGTGCCGACCTTACAAATGGAGTGTCTCAAGATGTGAATGCTCCAGTGCTCTTCTGCCCCTGGAGCTGCTGCCTCAGCTGAGCGTGGCTCAGCATGGCTCCTTGTGCCCACTTTCCTCCCCACCACTGTTCTGGGCAGCAGAAGTGCCCACCATTTTTTTTATTACATCACCAACAGTTCCCATGCTAGCATCTGGGTCCTCAAAGTAGTGTTGCTGGGAGTTGGGGTGGGGGAAGGACCTTTAAGAGGTGGGTAGGTCACTGGGGATGCTGACCTCAAAGTAACAAAGAGAGATCTTGTGGGAACTTAGTTGCTCCAGTCGCAGTGAGGGGCTAATGGAGCAAGACAGTCTCTTGTGTCTGTCTTCCTGTCCATGTGTAAGGTGTCCCATCCCTTGTACAATGAGGTCACTCATTAGGAAAGCCCTCCCAGGAGCCCAGTGCTGAGCCTCAAAACTGTGAGCAAGACAAACCCTTCTTTACATCCTTCCAACTCCAACAGAAAGCTGACCCCATGCCCAGGCCATGCAGTTCCCTACTGGCCATGTACAGACCACGTGACTTCAGCCCTACACATTTCTAGGGTTTTGTAAACAAGATCTGCTCCATGTTTCCTCTGTGTGTTTTCCTATGTCCATGTGATGCCAAACATTCATTGTCTATGTGAAAAGACTTAGATTCACCTAGGGACACAGCTCTGGAGTTGTCTGTAGGGTCTTCCTGTGACAGTTTAACAGAAGAAGAAGAAGAAGAAGAAGAAGAAGAAGAAGAAGAAGAAGAAGAAG